ATAGATACCGAGGTTCGTCCACGGCGTAGGCAAGCCGCCCTGGTGGGAGCTGAGTAGACAATGATAAGCTATCAATGTATTTCCGTGTAGGGGTTTAAGTACTACCGGATCTCATTGTTATTCTATCTTGATTACGTTGCCTTGCGCTTTAACACATGCCAGGTAGTGGCGTACATACTTGACTTTTATCACACCACTCAGCACGACTCACGTCCACTTGTCATCTGCATTGCGTAATAGTCATTACATATAGTGGTACTTTCCTTCTGATGTCAGTCACCTTCGTGGTCCAGTAGATAAAGCGTTTGCCGGAGAGCAGCGGAAGCTCGGCAGTTTGAGTCCCAGCCGCCTCATACCTAAACATGTTAAAAGATGGTGTTTGATTTATTGCCTAGTACTTGCCTTTTGAGGCACGATAACAAGAATAGGTATATATTTATGCGTATATCATCATTTAGACGCGCAATGTGCATCAAGTCATTATATATGTTTAAAGTGAATGTGTAATGTGTGTTCACTCAAATATACGTCGGGCTTTATATGTATTGCTCAAGTGAATGACTTGCCCAGTCAACCGTGTTAATAATGTTGTTATTCTGTTTTCTTGGTTGCATCCTGTATATTATGAAACGCATGTCACATTCCTGCTTGACAACGGTGCAAGAATCGGTTGCCAGTAGAATTATCATTATCATTATTATCACTATTTGATAGTCACAATTTTCTCTGCATCTGAAATGTATCCTCCAGCCATTTAGAACACCCACACATAAACACACTCAAACCCAAACATGTGCACAAACACATGCACACACGCACACGCACACGCACGCGCGCACGCACACACACAAATTAGTTCAGCAATAAAAGTGGTCATTTGTTACCCCTACACACACGTGCTACTTTCATTGCGAAAATGTATTAGGAATGATATCAGAAAACGTATTAGCATGTTGCACTTTGACCCTTTGGGGCTGCCATGTTATTAGACTCAGAAGACCCTGTAGCTTATCCTGTCAGTCTCACCTCATGTCATATGTCTCGTAGGTTACTGGAGCCTATCCTGGTAGTCTTACAACGTGTCATATGTCTCGGAGGTTACTGGAGCCTATCCTGGTAGTCTTACAACGTGTCATATGTCTTGGAGGTCACTGCATCTTATTCTGGGATTCTTACCCCATGTCATAAGTCTCGGAGGTTACTGCAGCTTAGGCCTGGTAGTCTTACCCCATGTCATATTTCTCAGAGGTCACTGCAGCTTATCCTGGCAGTCTCACCCAATGTCATATGCCTCACTGCAGCTCCTGCAGCTTATCCTGGCAGTCTTTATCCTGGTAGTCTTACAACGTGTCATATGTCTCGGAGGCTACTGGAGCCTATCCTGGTAGTCTTACAACGTGTCATATGTCTCAGAGGTCACTGCATCTTATCCTGGTAGTCTTACCCCTTGTCATATGTCCAAGAGGTCACTGCAGCTTACCCTGGCAGTCTTACCCATGTCATATGTCTCGGAGGTTACTGCAGCTTATCCTGGTAGTCTTACTCCATGTCATGTGTCTCAGAGGTCACTGCAACGTATCCTGGTAGTCTTACCACATGCCATATGTCTCGAAGGTTACAGACGCTTGTCTTGGTAGTCTCACCCCATGTCATATGCTTTGGAGGTCACTGGAGCTTATCCTGGTAGTCTTACCCCATGTCATATGTCTCGGTGGTTACTGCAGCTTATCCTGGTAGTGTCACCCCATGTCATATGCCTGAGAGGTCACTGCAGCTTATCCTGGCAGTCTCACCCAATGTCATATGTCTCGGAGGTTATTGCAGCTTATCCTGGTAGTCTCACCTCATGTCATATGTCTCGGAGGTCACTGCAGCTTATCCTGGTAGTCTCGGAAGTTACTAGAGCATATCCTGGTAGTCTTACCCCATGTCATATGTCTCGGAAGTTACTGCAGCTTATCCTGGTAGTCTTACCCCATGTCATATGTCTCGGAGGTCACTGGAGCCTATCCTGGTAGTCTTACAACGTGTCATATGTCTTGGAGGTCACTGCATCTTATTTTGGGATTCTCACCCAATATCATATGTCTCGGAAGTCACTGCATCTTATCATGGTAGTCTTACCCCATGTCATATGTCTCGGTGGTTACTGCAGCTTATCCTGGTAGTCTTACCCCAGGTCATATTTCTCAGAGGTCAGTGCAGCTTATCCTTGCAGTCTCACCCAATGTCATATGTCTCGGAGGCCAGTGCAGCTTATCCTGGTAGTGTCACCCCATGTCATATGCCTGAGAGGTCACTGCAGCTTATCCTGGCAGTCTCACCCAAAGTCATATGTCTCGGAGGTTATTGCAGCTTATCCTGGTAGTCTCACCTCATGTCATATGTCTCGGAGGTCACTGCAGCTTATCCTGGTAGTCTCGGAAGTTACTGGAGCATATCCTGGTAGTCTTACCCCATGTCATATGTCTCGGAAGTTACTGTAGCTTATCCTGGTAGTCTTGCCCCATGTCATATGTCTCGGAGGTCACTGGAGCTTATCCTGGTAGCCTTACTACGTGACATATGTCTCAGACGTTCCAGAGTCTTATCCTGGTAGTCTTATCCCGTGCCATATGTGTCGGATGTTCCAGAGTCTTATTCTGGTAGCCTTATCCCTTGTCATATGTCTCAGTTTTCCAGAGGCTTATCCTGGTAGCCTTACCACGTGTCATATATCTCAGAGGTACCAGAAGCCTATCCTGGTAGTCTTGCCCAATGTGATATGTCTCAGAGGTTCCAGACACTTATCCTGATAGTCTTACTCAGTGGAATCTGTCTCAGTTTTCCAGAGGCTTATCCTGGTAATCTTACCACGTTGTCATATGTCTAAGAAGTCCCTGAAGGTTAACATGGTAGTCCTACCACGTGTCATATGTCTCAGTGGTTTCGGAAGCTTATCCTGGTAGTCAGGGGCTGTGTCACTAGTCTCAGAGGTCCCTGAAACTGATCACGATGGTTGTGTCCCGTGTCATATGTCTCAGAGGTTCCAGAATCTTATTCTGCTAGTCAGGGGATGTGTCTGGTCCATTGGTGGAGCGTCAGCGTGCCCTGATAGCGGTAATCGGTACTCATGATCATCGTCACTGGTTTACGGGGTGCCTTCATATATGTGAAATATTGTTGACTGTGGTGTCCTCTTACTTTAAAGCGTCAACGTCATTGGTTGTAAAACATATCAAATGAATGGGACATGAAGGAGCTGTGAATTGAATTTTGCTTTGATTTTATTTTGAAAGAGAAAATAAGAATATTAAGAACAAAGTCTAGATGTGTGAAGAATCGTTTATTTCGTGATAAATGGGAATAAGAGTAACACACATAAATTGCTGCTTTTGGGCAAACCACACTCTTACGGTCGTAGGTTTATATCCGGAAATGCCCTTTATATGCTTCAAGGTTGGCAAGCACGTACATATGCTCATGTCTACATCTACTTCTCCCAAATTCTCCCACTCACATTACAAAAAAGTAACCCACAAACCTGGTTAACAACAAACGTTGTGCCGCCATAAGGCAAAATATCGCTAATCAGCAACCGGAACATAGTGATATACACTTTTAGGCTAAATATCGATTTATGCTTTCTTCGAGACAGGAGCAGAGCCGTTTTAGTGGACGATGTCAGTAATCATTCTGCTAGGGTGATAGCTTCGAAGGTGTAACGATTTATTGTGTAGAACTGATCAGCTTTTACTATTGAGAAAACTAGACTCGAACATCTCATCTTAAGGGAATAAATGATTGAACAAGAAACATAGTCGCCCTCACGTACAACACCAACACGCATTTGTTCCTCTGAAAAACAGAACACGAAAAGTATGATAAATACTTCATAAGATTCACCAGCTCCCTCTGAGATTGTTTCCGCCTCAACCTGCGTAAAAACTGTAAAAGATGAAAAGGCTTTTCTTAAAGGTCACATTCAACCCAAAAATCAAACATAATTAAAACACAATTATCACTTATTCGTGACATAAAATATACATTGCTGGTTACGAAAAAACATATAAACAATATTATAAGCGTACAATCGCAAATCAAAAGTGCAATATTGTGTACTTCGGTTTACTTCCCAAGAAACGAAGCAGCCGGGATACCGAACCCAGTCAGAGCGGGTGGGTGTGCACTCAAGTGTAACGGCTGGTTCATTTGCAGATGCCCTCACGGCTTTTTGTGTGTGTATATGTAGAGATGTTGGGTTTTGTAAATACATGCTCATTTTTTGTGTATAACATTTTGCAATCAACAGACATCATAACATGTCATGTGTTCAACTATCACGCCTGCCTGTCTGTGTAATTACATAATGTGACGGAGACCGAACTGGGGCCATAAATCAATGCATTTTGTTTGAGGTGTATAGCCTGATTGGTGTTAAGTTCAAATTGCATGTGGTCAGTGATAGCAGCTGTGTATTGAATATTGTCATTAGCAGACAGGCAGGCAGACACACAGGTGTCAATAAAACAAGACATTGAGTTTTGTCTGTGACAACGACATATCTATATCACAGTTAGAAATTCTGTCAACGCTAAATAATGACATTGCTTTTAAGTATCAAACTGAGAAAGTGACTCGGCAAGAAGAACATGTGGTGAAATTATATAAACAGTTAATTTACTGTCATAACATATAAAAAAGCTCGCGCCTGTGAGATATCAACAAAACATTAGAAAAATAGCTCACACCAAAGCCTTCACCGAGTATTCACCGGACAACCCGCTTCCAAGCTGCGCGAACCTATTTCACTGCGCACGTGCTATGAGCGCAGCCCAGCTGTTGAAACCCGTTTTCCCCAGAAAAGTCTGGGGAAAATTAGTGAAACGTTTGAACTCCGATTTCGCGCGGTTTTTTTCATCGCGTTATTTTTCAACTTTATAAGTTGAATTTGCATTTTTTGACGATTTGTTTCGGTAAGTCCATACCGAAAGGTATCAGAATCTGCAAAGTTGTGTTTTACGTTGCATGTGACCTTTAAAGATTTCATGCAGTGTCCGGAAACAAAATTGTCCCCTTTCATAAAATCCCAGCCACCTCCATTTCCAATGATAACAAATGATGTGTCTAGTGTTACTGATTTAGGGGTTCTCAGATCAAATTCCATGGCATGATCTCCTCTTATAGAGAAATATGTTCCAGGGCAGTAGACGTTCTTTGAGCCTCGTCCGTTTTCCCATTTCCATCTTTTCCACAGCATTTCAACAAGCATGTCCACTGTCCAAATATGTCTTATATTCCGGCGGTGCATTGCCGTTGTTGCTGTTCATGTTGCTGATGCAAGATGACTGCATCTTCGGTCTTGCTGCACTGAAGATGTGGACGCCGTCAGAATTGACAACATGAGACTTCGTGCCTATGGTGACATAGTCTCCTGAAACTTGCAACGGGGGAGAAAGTTGATCCAGCAGTTGGTATGGCACCAGTTTCTCCTTCTCTGGAACTGTGAATACAGAAATTCGGAATTACACATGAGAGTTGATATACTTTGATATTTGTCCCTATGCACATGTCTTTTCAAACATATGTCTCACTCTTGAACCCTATTTCTATACGTACATGCAAACCTATAGTTCTGTTTTGAGGACCAGTCTGCATTCATGTTATGTTTGATGTCTAATAGGAACATTGTCAATGAAAACATTAAAATTTATTGTCTTTAACAATGATGAACACATGCAATGTTTATTTCTAACTAATTTACCATACTTCCGTTCGTCTTGACGCGTGAAGTTTCTAACCAGCGCTAATACATCGCGGTAAACTGAGGCAATACCAGCTCATTCTTGACCAACTGATGTCATTTCGACAATGTGAAATCCTTCCAGAGAAGCATGAATCGGTATTCAGCTTGTCCATTAATAACACGAGATGGTGACGAATGAAATTACACAACTACAAGGTTCATATAGACCTTGCATTAAATATATTGAGGCCCTGAAGTTATTGAAGGCCCGAGTATGACACTTCTTACCGTACGCTAGTTCAAATGATCCACAAAAACAGCTTTGAAACTTCAGCCATTTCTCTGATCACCTAAGCCTAAGGTATGGTTATATATATATTGCATCTTCGATCTTGCTGCCGATGACGATTCTGTGAGTGTAATTCCAGCAATGCTTGTTCTGCCTACCAGGTGGGAGCGGAGATTTCCCTTCATCAGGAGGATCTTGTTTCTGGGTACATTTGCAGCAAATGACGCCAGTGAGGATAATCACCACTACCCCCAACACACCACAAGCTGCACCCACGCCGGTGAGGGTGGCCTTCAACCACTCATTCTGTTTGGCAACATCTGTAACATTTCATTGTCTTCTGTTCATGTCATTCCAATCATAACAACAAGCAAAACATATACGCTGGAAACATTAAATGTTTTTAGATGATATAGTGTCCCATAAATGTTGTCACGCCAAGGCAAACATGGAAAGTTTTTTGAATAACGTACTCAAAACTATAATTCATTCCATATAAACTTCTCTAAACATGTCACAATGTCAGTAAAGGGTTGTCACGATCATATAACGTTGCCTAAAAAGAACGCTGCAAACGTGAATCATTATGACGTCGTTGTTCAGACGTTGTGGACAACGACACAATGTTGCTACAACGTTGGTCTGGCATGTTTTCCAATTCAGCATATAAAATAGCTGAAACAGTGTTAACACCGAATTTTCCCATCGCTATTCAAGTCAAGCAGAATTACAATTAACATTAAGATATTCAATGTCTAACAAATACTGAAATACAAAAATATTAAAACATACAATCGCGTGCAAAAAGGTACTTTACCTTCATGATCAGCTTTGCGTTTTGTATTTCCCCTGTCAAAAACCACTGGAGCTCTCCTTGATTCATTCAGTTGGTCCAGCTTCGTGTTCAACTTTGTGATCTTCATCTTCATTTTTGCTGATGTTTGTTGCTCACTGTGAAGTTTTGTTTTCACCTCTGAAAACGCCTTGTCTTTCTCCTTTGTCATTTCTTCCAGTGCAATCCCTTTTGAAACAAACGAATTTTCCTTAAAATTATAAGAATTATTTATTTACATATGTCAAATGATTTAGAGTTTTGCATTTATTATATTTTTGCAAATGCTCAGATACCACCTATTTAGTTGATATTTGTCCAGTACCCAGAAAATAAACATATTTTATCATTTAATCCCAAACATTTTGAAAGCACCTGAAATTTTCAAATCACACCTACAAAAAGAATTAAACTAACTCAGTTTTTACCTACGTTTGCAATAGCTGTCGCACTCTCGCGAGAGTTCAGTTGTGTTGCACAGGTGAGCTACGTCAGCGCAGTGGTAACATCGTTGTCTCTCCTCCACACAGTACTGTTCTCCACGACGACACAAGTCCCGGTAACACTTGAAGTAGTTGGTGTCGACAGCAACACCCACGTGTAGAGCAATGATGACCCAAAGAACAGTGTCCTTAGTCAACATTGTCTCTACAACAGATCAATATAATCGTGATGGAATACCTCAAATCGACAGGTAACAATGTTGGCTAGTCTGTGTAAAACGTCTATATATTGCAGTTCCAGCTGTGATGGAATAGTGTGCATGAAGTATCACAATAACAAATTATCCCATGCAATGCAAATGGTCATATCATTCAGAAAAATTATTATTTAAAATGCAAACTCCAAATGCCCGATTTCGATTAACGATTCTAGAATTAGCTATTATTTACCACTCCACTTCTGTCAGGAATGATTTCATCTTAAGCTGATTCTATTTAAATGCATTATAAATGAAGATCAAAAGTTGACGTTTTCACAACAATATCACACTCCATATACACGTCTCGAAAACATGTCACAATGTCACTAAAGGGTTGTCACGATCATATAACGTATACAAAACGTTGTTCTATAAGAATGCTGCAAACGTGCATCGTTGTGACGACGTTGTTCAAACGTTGTCGACAACGACACAACGTCACTTCGTTGGTCAGACATGTTTTCCCATTCAGCATATGAAATGGCTAGAATAGTGTTCGCACCGAATTAGATCCCACTTTTCCTCTCGGTATTCAAGTAAAACAGGGTTGCATTTAAAATGAAGATATTCAATGTACAACCATTACACACAAAAAATATTAAGAAACAATCGTGTGCGAAAGGGTACCACTTCTTCCAGGATGGAATTGCCACACAATCTCCCCTGCATATCTATCAATGAACACACATAGCAGTTCTCACAAAACTTATTGCATACAGTTGATATAACCTACCAAGAAGTCAGCTGACTACCTCCAGCAAGGATTTCAAACTGACCAAGCACCTGACGTACTGTATATTTTATCCTGTGTTTACATCTGTTACCGTGTATGACATCAGACTAAATTTAGAAGCTCGGCCAGCTCATGAGCATGCATACGATCAATGATTCAGTGGTTGAAAGTTATGATGGAACTGGTGTATTTTGTCTTCAGCTTTAACACATGTATTATATTAATGTATAAGGGTTATACTATGATACATGTCTGACAGCGAGAACTTATAAACAATCGATTTATCTAATACACTGTCTGTAAAGATGTCCCGGGATAAATTTAACCACAACTCATCTCATGACGGCGGTGGTTTTCCAAACTATTTTTAGCCTTGACGAATCCTCCACTATGAATATTTATTGATATATATAAACAGCGACTGTATAGCTTGCGTCAGTCCTGGCCTTTACGTCATGTGCAAAGTAATACTATTTCTATAATGAAGAGATATGTATTAAACATCATTACTTTGATAATATCGTCCTCACTTGTTTTATATTTGAAAACTAATGCAACATATGAATACAATTATCAACCTTGTTCATCATATCCACCTTTAAATGCTTTTTTAAGAAAGTAAAAACTATTTTGTTGTTGATGTTGTTGTTGACGTTAAGACGCCATTAGTGGTGGAAGACACCCATCCATAACAACAAGACATCGGCCGAGACTTCACCTGACGCAAAAGGACAATTACTTTTCCCAAAGCTAACCATAGAGAGATAGGAATCTAGTATTGTGATAAAATGGGGATCTGTTTCGCATAGAAATGGCAATTTCAGCTGTTTTACTATGCTTTTGTATTTAAGGGTTAGTGTGCAACGCCGATATAAAGAGTGAGTGAGGAGGGTATTACCCTTCTCTTAACATATCCACAGTGTTCATAATCAATCATGACGTGGAAAATCATTGATTTATCTGGAGACATTTCTTGAATACAGTGCCTTGTACGTGTCGTGAGACGATGGGGGTAGCCTAGTGCTTAATGTGTTCGCTCGCCACGCCGACAACACGGGTTCGATTCCCCACATGGGTACAATGTGTGAAGTTCATTTTTGGTATCCACCGTCGTGCTCTTAGCGGAATATTGCTAATAACAGCGTAAAACTCACTCACTCATTTGACGTTAAACCTCATTTCACAACACGTTCCTCCTGTCTTCAAACATCCATATCTTTGAGTGTAAGGCCAGACCTCTTCGCAAGTTGTATGTCAGCTCCTGTGGCCTACGTATGAACAACTACAAAGTAATGTCCCTGATGGCATCAGTAAAAGTTTCTAAAACTAAAGAGACTAAACACCCATAATTGCAATGCATATTTTTTCCTGATGATCGTATGTTCGAATCTCACAAAGCACTTGTAATCAGGGTTTGTCTACACCAAGGTAGTGCTCCTGGTGAACAATGGCCTTCCTCAGATTTCCTCTCAGATTAACCTCGCTGACAAGCCATCATATAACTGAAATGTTGTCGTGTAAAAACTTCGTTCGCTCTACTTACTCATTGTATAGGTAAGACTGTACATGGAATTAATGCATCTGCTGTTCACAAAGCGTTTCCTTCATGCAGAACGATGGGCTTTAGTTAAAAAAGATGGCTTTAGTGGTGTTTTCTGGATAACTATGTTTTTTTCTTTGTTCGTTTTCATTTGCACTCATGGTTCCCGTGAATATCCAGGTTGGAATCGGTATTCCCTGCTGGTCTTAAGAGGTGGTTAATGGGGCTGGTTGTTCAGGCTGGGTGACTTTCTTTGATGGATGTCATGATAACCCAAGTGGATGATGGATGCTTATGTCAGTCACTGCATGATCGGGTCCACACGAGATGATTAGCAGACTTGGTTCGATTCCCCGTGTGGGTACAATGTGTGAAACCCATTTCTAATATTGCTGTTATATTGCTAAACGCGGCGTAAAACAACACTCACTCATTCACTTACGTATTTTGATATTATTTTTTCAACTGTTTAACTGTATGCACGACGTCATTGCTACACGTAAACCCTGTAGTATCTATGTTTGAGTCCCAGCTGGGGCCGTGTAGAAACATCCAGGTTTGCCCTATCCTATAACGGAACTAGTGTGATACTAAAAATCATATTTTTCTTTATATTCTTCATGTTGTACATATAACGAAGACATAATAACCGTATTCCAATGCCGCTTTCGAGAAAACACTTTCAAACGAGGACTAGTGCCTCTATACTACTATTCAATAAAGCAGCTGTGATTCAGATCGTTCAGACAAATGCCTTGCCGTGAGAATCATCGTCCTTTTTTTTCTTCACAGATGCCTGATGTTCCTTGACTCACATCCTTGAACCCAACCGGGATTACTCACAGAAGTAACAAATAAATAGACGGTAGTGAAAGGGTGTAGTTATATCTTTTCATATTTAATCAAATTCAAAAATAAGTTATTTGTAACCATCGAAAATGTAACTGAAAGCCGAGGGAAATTAACAATAACATAATCAATAAAAATACACATGGACTTATCACAACCATTCAGTATGTAATGAACTTGACATAGACATGGGCACACACATAGAGTTGTTCAGATCTCGGAATGTACAAACTGAACAGAATAAGATAATGGCCACGAGGAAGTAATCATCGCTTGATACCACACGGCTGGAAGACCTTAAATATATCAAAATGGAAAACACATCTTGAGTGAAAAGCATCTCTGGAAACAAAAAGGATATTCCAACTATCTTTACAGACTATCCCTATTTCCACTTGCTTTGGAAAATACTGCTCTATGATTACCTTTATTTTTGTAGAAGGAGACAGGGATTATCCTTTTAGTGAGTGAACAACAATGTGAATACTCTCTATCAGTGAGCCTGGGAGTTTTTAAGAAAATCATGTCGACAACGGTCATTAGGTATTTATGTTAAGCAACCGGGTGAAACAGAAAGCAACAATAGCTACAGTTCAGGGAATGATATGGACATATTACTGTATGAACGTGCGCCATTGTGCAACACAACCTAATGCAGGTCTGTGATTGGTCAAGCGTTCAAGTGTCTGGTCAGTGGTATTACAGCAATATATGCACGTATATGCACACATTCGCGTTAAAAGCTATAATGCAAAGTTCTACATCAATGAGATCACATTCATACAATTACACTCATGCTGTTGACCACTTGATTGTTTTGTCCAGAATCGATTATTTACAGACCGCCGCCATGTAGATGGAATATTGCTGACTGCGGCACTCACTCACTCATACAATTAAAGCAATCATGATATGTATGACAACATCTAATCACTGAATAACATTTGGGATCAAACATAAATTACCACTTGGCTACAAAAACATACTTACAATTAAAATTATTGTAACGTTTGTACATAATGTTGTAAATATAAGCATTCATTCTCAGTTAAATACGTATACAAAAGTACATGAAATCTTCACAAAAACCTGTCATGGTATAACAACGGATGATTCGGTTTGTACACAAAAGTCAGGACTCGCTTACCAACATAGGTACAACATGTAACTAGGTTTTCGACTCCGAGGTACCGTTGTTGTTGTCATCTACAATGCAGCAAATCCTGTGTAGAGATGCTTTAATCTTATAGCCTGAAACTTATGCCGTATGTTCGAATCCTAGCATCACCCAGGCCATCAGTGGCAGTTGGTTCCACCAAATTGGTCATGCCTGCGATTTGGATCACCTGTTGTGACCAAAATGTAAAATATCATAAACTTACTGAATACTGTAAGTTGGTCCTCATGACTACACACTCAAAGGGTCACAATGGTCGGCCACATGCCCCAGGGCCCCCTTTCACAAAGCACTAAGGTGATCGTAGTCGCTAAGGTAACCTTAGTGCAATGTTAAAGAATGGGAGTTAAGGTTAACCTTTGTAAAGGATGCTTCGTGAAAGGAGCCCCTGGTTGTAAACGTCCAAGTACAACATAACTTTTGGCTTTTAATACACATTACTCTGCCACGATATAGTTGACATACTGTTCAACCCCACTCACTCATATTCTTGCTGGAATAACCATCGAACATTGTCAGTTTATATGAAAGTAGGCATGATCTTATATACTGTCTCCCTAATGATAGTTTTCACAAATTCACAGTTCCAACAATCACTTGTCCTTTGATACAGAAGACAAACGTCCTTTACTGAGGATAGGTGTTGTCGACATTCTGAATTTGATTCAGCAGCTCAACGGGGTATTTCTTACCTGAATAACTGTCAGTGGGTTGAATATTTTTCAGAACTGAGGGTGTTCTCTCATTTTCTCTTTTGTTAATGTCGTTTTTGTCTGCCACGGTTATGTCTATGCTATCCTTCTTCGCTTCAAGACGCGATTGGTATGCTGGCGGAGGAGTGCTGTTGATATCGTCGATGTTTTTGTCAGGTGACTGAACCTCCAATCTTTCTACAGTGACGTCACCATTGATGGTAAGGCCAGGAGAAACTGTGGGAAGGTGTGCACATTTGTCCATCAAAGGGACGAGATCGGAACGGTTCTCTCCTTTAATCTCCCCTGTAAATATAAGGACATGTAAAGCTCAAGTGTATGGGAGGGAAAATTAGATTCAGCGTCCAGATTACCGCACCTATATTGCGATGTGCATTCACGCCTTTGTGTCTTTGAGTACTTGTGATGAGTCCTATCCAAACCAACAGCTACACGAGGATACAACGTTTAGACACAAAATTCTGATTCCGAACAGACCAGAACTTGTTTTGTCTCCTTAATGGCAATTCCACTGATATCTTCCGAAAGCATTAAGCGTTTTGAAAAATATGCATTTAGTTTGCAGTAATGTTCAAAGTAATGCGAATTCATTGACCACATTTTATCTCAACAAAAATGTAACTGAACAAAAAGCGATTACACATATTTTTTGCAAAGATGTTTCAGTAACATTATCAGACAAGAAATCACTCTTTATTTTCTGAGCAATAATAGATTGGTATTTAAAATATTATTTCCGTGATATTTTATATTAAATTCTTCAAACAATTTAATCTAATTTCATATTTATGGAACCTTTCGAAATGGTCTCACAAGGTTTCAATACAGCGAGTACTTCTTCCTACCTGACTGCGTTATGCCGATAGAGTTTGAATGGCGTTCTTTCCGACAATAGAGACAACAAATGGTCCCTGACAGAATGATGACAATGAACACTCCACTCACTAGACATACGATGAAGTTGATCTTGCTCTGGTTCAATTGTTTCACCAGCTCTGTAACAAACAGATATCAGAGATGTTTAATGAAATCGTACAAATATGTGCTTTTATGTGTTATACTATATTTGCAATGCTGAATTAAGAGTTGATTAAACTGAATTTGAATCCCAAGTGTTCAAATTAGCTTTTTCAACCTGAGTGGTTATTCTGATTTGAACCTCTCATCAACAATGTTTTCATAATGTGATTCGTTTATACGTTATTAAAGATAACACCTGATGCCACCTGTTTCATTGAATAATCGAGACTTGATATTCACGTTTTATCTTTTTTGAAACACAATGATGAACCACAATGACTGTTGTGACTAGATGTATAACACGAACACACGAACAATGATTGTATTACCTACAGTTACAATATTTAGCACTCAGCTATCTCACCTTTATGTTCTGTTTTCAGGTTTTCACCTTTGGTTATTTCAGCGTTCAGATTCTCGTTTACTGTTGTGAGTCGGCTGACGTTACTCTCCAGCTGTTTGACTGTCTGTTTCAGATCAGCGTTTTTCTGTTGTTCCTGTTGGAGGTGTGCCTGCCTGTCTGCCAACTCCGCGCTTTTATTTGCTTCAAGTTCCACTACGTTCTGTAATTGAACCCCTGAAAAGAGATCACATTGTTGTATAACAAAGACGATTTTATCGTTATATTTTAAAGATGGTGAATAACCCAGGATTGATGCACATGGTCATATACATTGTATCTGTGTGGTTACGAATTATATTAATCCTAATTTGATATCCATATATTGGAGAAACGAAGGTGACACACGTCGTTGACGTTTATCCCCGAAATTAATGAAACTTGAAGTCACATGTACAGCGCTGACAGTTATGTTCAAGGGACAGGCCTCTTGACCACTGCTTTTTTAAGTTATAAACCCGTGAAGATCCGGGTTTGAATTGGTCTTCAGTAACCCATGCTTGTCGTAAAAGGCGACTAACGGGATCGTGTAGTCAGGCTAACTGGCTTGGTTGACATGTGTCATCGTATTCAAATTGCGTAGATCGATGCTCATGCTGTTGATCACTGGATTGTCTGGTCCAGACTCGATTATTTACAGACCGCCACCATATAGATGGAATATTGCTGAGTGCGGCGTTAAACAACAAGCGAAACCATCTTAACTTTTAAGAACTACATATTTCCTTTCAAGACCACAACTGATTTGTCGATTAAATCACATTCTAATATCAGCCAAACAAACGATCGTTTCTTGTAATTCATACGGACAATTGCTTACATTCTACGAATGGAATTTATCCGTTATGAGTTACTGTATGTGTGTACTTACGATAGCAATAGCTGTCACAGTCTCGCGAGAGTTCAGTTGTATTGCACAGGTGAGTTAAGTCTGCGCAGTGGTAACATCGTTGTCTCTCCTCCACACAGTACTGTTCTCCTCGTTTACAGAGGTCAAGGTGACACCGGAAGTAGTCAGGGTTGAAGGCTGCGCCGAAAGCTGCGCTCACGCACAGCAGTACTGTAAATACGTGCACCTGTATCATCGTCTCTGAAACAAGGAAAAGATCTAGAAAACTTAGATTCTTCAAACATATTTTCTGACAAAATTGGAGAAATAGTATTCCTGACGTATGATAAACGTCAAAACTAGAAACGTAAAAGTATTGTCGAAATAGAACTTTGAATCTGATCGTCTTTCAACATGGGACAATGAGGCAAATTTAACCCGTTTGATATAGCTATTTCACATGTTACTATGCTTGGTCAAAGTGACTGTCTGGTCTCCGTCCCATTCTTACAGCGTGGCCAAAGAACACAACTCTGCACGGCTAATGGCAATGCCTTCTACGGCAGCGCCGTGCCCCTGTTTACAACACGTTACGAGGACGAACCCTAACTCACGGAGTTATGGTCCGGATTCGTTTATTCCATTATGGCAAGATGGCTGAAATGATGCTGAAAACCAACATTCACTCACTTATCCAATGCACAATCTTAATCTGTATCGATATCAGTTACAAAACAAGTATCAAACATACACTTATATGGTTAGCAGCAAACTATATACAATGTATCTTGTTTATATGTGTATACGTGTAAGTGTGGGTGAGTGTGTGTGAGCGTGTAAGTAAATATATGTGTATGTTGATGTATATATATATATGTATATGTATGTATAAGCACATACATGTGCCTATGCATATATTATATTGTGTAATCACACAAGTGTAGTAAACGTGGAACTGAATGGTGAACAAACATCTTAAATCGAGACTGATAATGTAATCGACAACCAGGTGTACTGAATGCCAAAAGGATACAGTTTGCTTGTGACTCGATCGAGGAATAAAACAACATGCGCTCATTACAGATTCAAGTCGGGTCCCAATCACATTTTCAAAATATCCAACCAAAAGCAAAGAAAAACTTATTAATAATCAGAACAATCTATCACAGTCTACATCACTGTACCAGAATGCTCTATAAATCAATTACATGTATTATTATTATTACAACACCATATACATACCTATACAGCATATCTCAGTGTTGACACTGGCATCCTGTGTTGTTTTAAATCAACTGTTTTATTGTGCTGTTTGTCCCTGTCTGACGTGTTACTTATTAAGGGTCGTGGTTTGTATATGTGTAGATATTAATAGATGGGTAATTTCGTTTTGATACAATAGACATTTGACGTGGCAGTACTTATACACAAAATGTCCTTTTGTTGTGGAGTTCTAATTTTAGCTTCGCGTCATATATTTCCAATTTTTCTCACCAATTCCTAGCTGTCCTTAAAATAAGCACTTACAGGGAAACCCTTAGCTTGTGATGAACGTGCAAAAATAACGTTGCTTCAACACACGTGCAGTTTTCTCTGAAAGGAAACATAATACAAATCTATATTTTATCGGCGCTTCTCACATTTTCAGTTTTCTAATACGATGTGTAATAATATACGTGCATTTTTCAGGATATAGTGAGCAGTGAGTGAGTTTAGGTTTACGCCGCTTTAGCAATATTCCAGCAATATCACAGCGGGGGACACCTGAAATGGGCTTCACACATTGTACCCATGTGGGAAATCGTACCCGGGTCTTCGGCGTGACGAGCGAACCCTTTAATCACTAGGCTACCCCACCGCCCCTTTTCAGGAAATACAGCTGTTAGCAGCGTAATGGTTGAATTATCGTTCGTAACATTTAAAGGAACCTAATCGGTGGATACGCGATGGATGCTTTGTTTGCTGTAAACTCTTGTTTGATTACGATGCGCTCCCACCTGGCTGAACATTTTGTTGATATTTCATTAGGTTACAATATAGTTTTAGTATGTTGGAAGAAATAAACATTAAATAACAAAGTATAGAAAGGAGATACCAAATCAACAATATAATAAATATATTGTGCTGATGACGATTTGATTACCCCCTCTCTTTGGCAAGGAGAAGGTTGTTGAGGATTATTTTAACTGTCAAACTGCTTCAGGAAGGATATATATTATACATATTCGTCGCATATTTTAGTCACATACATATCTCTATCTATCTATCTATCTATATATATATATTTCTATGTGTGTGTGTGTATATATATATATATATATATATATATATATATATATATATATATATACATACATACACACACATGAACGTAGATATACATATATACACTCTCATAAATAGAAACGCATATGTCATTTTTAGAAGAATTCATTGCGTTAGTTTAAGGGACATTATTTACCATTTGCAGCAATTACTGCTCGGCACCGTCTTGGCACGGACTGCATAAGCTGACGAAGTCGCTCTTGCGTAGTTCTTCCCCTCTCTTCCTGCAATGCGATGGCCAGTAAATTGTGGAAGAGTCTCAGGCGTGTTTTGACGTTGATGTACACGTCGGTTGAGATCATCCAATAGGTGTTCTATCGGGTTTAGGTCTGGTGATCAGGAAGGCCGTGGTAAGACACTGACGCTGGAATTGGCAAGATAGCGGACCGTAACGCGTGTTGTACGTGAAGTAGCCTCTGACGGTCCTTCTGACGACCCATAATCAGAAGGATGTGAAGTGCAAGGACTTCGTTGATGTACCGATTTGTTGTCAAATTCCCCTGAACTACTACTAAATCATATCTTTGTGTGCTGGATATCACACCCCACATCATGACACTGTCCCCACCGAATTTGACGACCTGTAGAATGCAATTAGGGACAAAACTTTAATTTCTCCGACGGTAAACACGCTGTCTTCCGTCTCGCTGGTGAAGACGAAATCGTTATCGGGTGATCTTGGGCGGAATTGGTCTGTAGGAAACGTTCACAAATGCGAGATATGAAGCTCTGATGAACGTAGAAACGTCGGGCAACTATAGACTGCGACTCACCAACTTCAAGGCGGCCAATGGCGATGTTTCGATTGGTGCCACTCAGTCGCGGCATGATGATTTCCTCTTTTCAAGGCGTTTTGGAAGGAAATAGTATATTATTTGTTTTGTCTTTGCGGCAGGTACATGAGTCCAATATTCTCAAAACTTATTTTTGAAGAGTGTAGATATAGTGATATGTTTGTGAATAAAATAGAATATTATATAATTGTGTGTGTGTCTATATATATATATATATATATATATGCTTTGGCGGATCTAACACAAACGGATGTAGGAAATTTATTGCCTCTTAAAATTGACGGGCCCGGCTCAAAATGACTGAAAAACACATTGCCCTCTATAAAGCAATTGTTATAACATTTTCTAATACTATTCAAACAAACCTCTGTAAGCCACTACCCGTGAAGGTCCGGGTTAGAATGTACCTTCAGTAACCCACGCTTGTCGTAAAAGGCGACTAACGGGATCGGGTGGTCAGGCTCGCTGACTTGGTTGACACATGTCACCGGTTCTCAATTGCGCAGATCGATGCTCATGCTGTTGATCACTGGATTGTGTACAGACCGCCACCATATAGCTGGAATATTGCTGAGTGTGGCGTAAAACTAAACTCACTCACTCACTCTTTAAGCCACAATGAAGTGACAGTTTGACAGCGTGCTGTAAATTACTACACGAATAGCATGGATGTCATGTTTGTTTCTGTTACAAATAGACAACGATCTCCACATGAAACAAATAATGTATATATATTCATATATGACTGAGTGGAGCGTCCTCTCCGGTTATCACGCCACCCGAGTAAAAAATGCCCAAACTTCCCTATACAAATTTAGGCGTTTTTACCAGGGAAGGCTGTATTGTTAAAGTGAACACCGTTGTTTGACGTGACGGATTATGCAATACATTTAGCTCCTATACATGATTCATAACATATGATAATATAATACTGTCACCTGAGGAAGATTTGCATAAATTGTAAGTTTGTCACCTGAGGAAGATTTGCATAAATTGTAAGTTCATTTTACGTACAGCACGCTGTACAGGACGCTATATACTGTAGTGTTACAGTTACTTATTTCCAGTGATCCATTCATTTGGTATTCACACATTTTCCCCTTTTGTGGCAGAAGGCATCCCTTTTGGAAGATAATCGAAAAAATATTCTCTGGCGTTGACCCTTTCTGTTATATAGTTTATCTGGTATCTTTCAGTAAACCTTACTTAGTCATCCTTACTTAGTCAGTATATGTAATATGTTTATTGTTGTTACATGCTACCAGATATGTTTTTAACCATGATAGTGACTGAGACGTGCAGTGTGATAGGTGATTTGGTTTGGTCGGTAGAAATATAATATACTGACAATATACTGCAATGTGCAGGATTTTCTATTAGCTCAAAGCTTGTTTTGGACCCGTAGGTGATAACAAATTCTTTGGACTAAAATCTGTCTTTATCATATTAACCCTTGGGTCATTTTCATAATGAAGGCGATGTTTACCTTAGGTGGTATGAAAATCCTTGTCATTTTGTTGTTTTTGGCTTAATTTTTGAAATTTTGAAAGAGCATAGGGCGAATGTGTTGAACCAATGGTCATGGATATCTGCCACTTATAGAATGCGACTGTGTACAGTCAATGTGCTTCCGGTGATCGTGGCCGGCAATGCCCGTTTGTTTTGTGTAATAACCCTGATAGTTCGCCACCATTTGGTAGAGTGCAAAAAAGTCAAAGATGTTTATTGTATTTCAGGCCTCCGGCCCATATGCATTAGAGTTGCATGCATTATACAATCACAGACTATTTGAATACAGAGATGATTTTGACAGATATCACGCTTGGACATTGCATTGTAGCTGTATTGTGATAGTTTTAAGTTAATACAGGTGTCATAAGTAGACAGGATTTGTTTAAATGCTCCAGTAGGTGACTTGGAGAGGTAACATTCAGGAATATATTATTTACGTAAATCTATTAAGATGGACAGACAAATAAAACAATGAATTTCGTTTTCAATGGATAATTTACACAATGAGCAAATTCTTGTATATCTGTCGATGGATACACGCCTTCCTTCATTAATCATTAAGTTTGATAGTCCTAATCTTAATCGTATTAATGAATTTCTCAACTTTTTGGATGTTAAGTGTGATAGGTACTTTTCGCGTTGGTTAAGGGTTTTAAACATGCTATAGGGATCATATCGTGAGCTATTATCTAAAACTGAATGCCAATCTTGATTAAATATATTGATAGCTGTTTCTCGGAATTAGTACAAAAAACATTCACATTGCCAGATGACTGATTTAGCCACACAAAACCATAACCATGAGAAAATAGGAGATTTCTTACATGAGATGCCCATGTTACTTTACCCAACTCATGCAGATGAACAAGCATATTGTAAGCCTTTTTAGGTAGTCTATTTTCATGCATACATATAATTTTCAGCCAGTATTTTATGTATCGATATAGGAATTGATATACAAAGGATATCTCCCACATTCGCCATATACCATACATGTTGGTGTTGACTGACCAACACAAAGAAACGTTTTACACGCTAATAGATGTATATTTTCGATACTTTCAAAACGCTGGAATCCCCATATAGAGTAGAGTAAGATAGGCTGTATTTGTGAATCAAATAACTTAATAAATATTTTTGGCGTCAACACGCTTAATTAGGCATAATTGACAATAAACTAATTGATGCTTTCTTTGCTCTCAGGGCTAGTTCAGCAACCGGTTTTTTTTCTTCAAATTAATGATTGTATTAAACATAAAACCAAGATATGTATACTGATTTCTTACAGTTACAAGTTGATTATCGAAACTCCATCTTTCTCTTACCGCAAGTGGGACACCTTTTCTGAAAATGACTATATGTGTTTTATCAAGGTTCACGGATAGGTTCCATGTCTTTGTGTAACGTTCTAAAATATTTAATTGTGTCAACAAGAACTGATTCTGATAGAAGAATAAGATCATCGGCAAATAATAGTATTAAGATTTCTATTAGATCTGGAAACATTTGGACGCCATGTTATCCGTTTGCCATAATTTCGTAGTATAATTCATTGATAAAATACTATAGGAAAAGAGGATGGGGCTGAGAACACAACCTTGTCTCAGGCCGATCGGGCAGTCAAATAATTCAGTTAAATCATCACCGCAGCGTACGCATGCTTTCACATTATCA